ATTTGGGTCCTCAGAAACGCTGAACCCTTTTACAACTGCAACTGCAGGCTTTCAGTGCCTCTAAAAATCAAACTCAAATGAGGCATAAAATAAAACAACTGTGCTTTTATGGGCCTGATTTGGCAATAAATATTTTTGCCAGAAGGAAAGATCAGGTCCTCATAACAACCTTTGATCTGCTTTTCTGGCAAGTTTGGATATCTCAAGTCAAGTCCTTCGCAAATTGTGAGTACCTAACAGGAAGGGTTACAAACTCCAGGCCGTATTGAACACCATTGCGGGTTTATTTATCAGTCCGCTTCTTTGAGAAGAGGTTTTTCAAAACTGCAGAGGAAATCGGTTTCCTCTGGAAGTCTGGTTCTGTTTCATAGACCTTCCCTCTCTTGTGGGATAAGTGCTCCACTAAAACATAGCACCCACCAGTAACACAAACAAAACCTCGGATTTGCCAAGGCCTTGCACAGTTTGTTGCAAAGTATCTCATGAAATGCGATGGGCAAACCTCACCCTAAAGCGGGGGTTCAGCCCAGAGCATGGCTCTTTCTTGACCCAAACTTCTGTAAGAAAACTGCTGGGCATACACCACGTTCCTGGACTAAACAGCTTAGAGAAGGCCAAGTTCTGGTCTTTAGTTCCTTTGGCTTCAGGACAAACTAGGATATTAGGAAAACAGGGACCTGAGTGAAGGTATTAATACAGAGGTCTCCAACCTTTTTAAGCACAAGATCATTTTTTGAATTTAAGTGCAATCCAAGATCTACCTCAAATATAAATCCCCTTGCCCCGTCTCCTTCCCACCTGTTCTCTGAGGCCCCACCTTGCTCACTCCATTCTCCCTCCCTCGCCCATTCTCACTCACTCTCATCAGGCTGGGATAGGGTTGCCAGATGTTTGGTTTTTGCCTGGACAGTCCGATTTTGGCACCTCTGTCCATTAAAAAATCCAGAAAATACCGGACACGTAAAATGTAACAGATGTAAAACGTCCAGTATTTTCTGTTTTTTTATTGAAGAGAAGGCTGGCGGGGACATTTTCCCCTGACACATCTAGCAGGGTGGGGGCAGTGTGGTGTTTTAAAGGTGACGCAACCTTTTTTTTCTCAACAAGTCCCCCCCCCCCTTTTTTTTTGCTCAACCAAATTTCTTTCCTGACATGTTTGGTATTTTTCTTTAAGTATCTGGCAACCCTAGGCTGGGGCAGAGGGTTGGGTGCAGGCTCTGGTCTTGGATTAAGGGATTTGGAGTGTGAGAGGGGCTCTGAGCTGAGCCAGGGGCAGGTAGTTGGGGTATTGGAGGGGGTTCTAGATGTAGGCTCTGGGATGGCGTTTGGATGCAGGAGTGCTTGGGACTTGGAGTACAGGAGGGAGTTCATGACCGGGGTAGGAGTTAGGGATGTGGGCTCCAGCTGGGCACTGCTTACCTCAGGTGTTGCAGTGGGGTTAAGGCAGGCTTTCCCCTGTCCTGGCCCTGGACCACTCCCCAAAGCAGCCAGCAAAGTCCATCCCAAGTCTGGTTGTGCCCCTCTCTGCTTTGTGGAGAAAAGATACAGAGTGGGAGGGGACACCGTGACATCAGCACCCTCCTCTGTCTCTCTGCACAGAAAGCAGAAGGCTCCCTAGGGGGAAAGGCAGCTCGAAGGCAAAGTGCAGGAGATGATTAGCTGTGGGGGGAGGGGCAGCTGAAGGGCTGGCCCTTGATAGCCTCTTGGCCAAACCAGTCAGGCTCCCTGGTGAGAGGCTCCAAGATGGACCAGTAGATCCGGATCGACTCCGTGGTGACCACTGTATTAATATGTGTGGTTTGGCACCATCAGAGAGGGCCATGATGTCTCCGTCTTGGTGGTGGCTGTGGAACCTGCTGGCTTTTGTGGGTACCCGTCCAGGCTCTGGAGACCTGAAGGGCAACAGGATTATTTTGTGGCTTGTTATTTGGTTTCTACCTAGGGGGACCCAGAGCTTTGCACAGCTGAGCAGGGAAGGGGACAAGAGGGGAGTTGTAAAGATGGGTCAAGAGAAGGGAAGGGGGGAAAGAGCTTAGGGAACAACCTCTGGGTGGTGGGGTGCCCAGACCCCTGAACTCAGAGGCTTATGCAGGGCCTCCTGGAGAGCAAGGGGCAGAGACCCAGAGCAGTAATGCCGGGTTCACTTGTAACCCCCAAAAGCCCATGTGTAGCGGGGAGCGCCTGGCGCCCCCTCCGACGCCGCAAACAGCGCGAAATGGGAAGTGTTGGAAAGCAGCTTCCCCCAACACGCTTGAGAAATGCTGTTTGGGATAATGCTGCGTTATCCTCTGCAGCCATTGAACGATCGCGGCTCGCCTCGCTCCTCGGCTGCAGGGGGGCAGGGCAGGCTGCGTTTTCCTTCGCAATCTTCCAGAGGGGAAAGGAACCAGCTGTGGCCTCCGCCGACTCTGCCCCATTTCTCTTTTAAATGGGGCTGGGCGGGTGTTCCCTCCGCTGCCTGAAACCATCGCTCTGGCATTACGGGGAGGCTGTAACCTTTGAATCTGCCTCAAAAGGAATATCGCGGATGGCTAACGCAGGCGCGCCAGCCCCCCAAGAGTCATTTCATTTGATGAGATGGCTGGTCAAGCAGCTTACGTCTCCCTGGCTGCGCTTTAACAAGTTGGGCATTAGACCCGTTTCATCACTATTAATTCATTTGCTTTCCCATTTGCTCCTAAGAGAAAGTTGTTAGCTTCTTGTGTTTTTAAAGCGCCATCCCAAATCCCGAGGTGATGCAGAAATTGCTGTTGCTTTCGGGAAGAGTAGGGCTAAGAGAAACTTACAAGGGTCAGTTTCTGGAGAGCGAAATAGAAAGTGTACTGAAAAAGTCATCCGTACCTCTGTGTAATCAGAGGTGAGTATATCCCGAGAGCTAAACAACTATCACCACAAACTCGGCAAACACACACGTACCCAGAGTGGAGTATTTATTTAGGCGTTTAAATACAAAAAGCTCTTGGTTGGATATCTTTTTTATTATGTCTACGGATGTATTTCAATGTATGTTTGTATATATCCACATTGAGTATATACTAGAAAGATGCTTGGGCATGTGCATATATTTCTGTATACATGTTGTATAAACATACACTATTTGAGTGATTGTGTTCTCTGCCATATCTAGTTAGACTATTTGTGTGTGAGGATATAGACACAGATATAGATAAACTTGCACACAAAATAAATGTGAGTGGATCTATCTATCTATCTAGAATTTTGTCTGTTAAAGGAGTGCAAGATTTGACCCAAAATAAACCAAAGCAAAGCAGGACGCGTAATATCTAATTTAATATTTTTTAAACTTCCATCAACATTCTGTGTCGTTGTCTGAAAGATACCATGAGAACCAAACTGATGGTGTTTCTGTATGCACATCTATACACGTGCATGGAAAAGTAACATCTGAAAACTCCCGTGCTCCGAGTTCCAGGTTCATTAAAATATTATGATTGCCATTTCTATTCTTTTAAAGGTTTCTCCATCTATTTAACATTTACCAGCTCATACATATGGAAGACATGGCTTATCGTTCCTGGAGAACTGTACTTTTAGGACTAATTGATTCTGGTAATTAATTTGTTCTACCTGCTGGATCAGATGGAAATGCAGTCCGTGTGCCCAAGGATTAGCACTTGCCTTCCTAACATCTTTCCTAATTATCTAATAGCATGGGTTGCGAGAATTCTGGCTCTATTAAAACACTTTTACTATTAAGAGTAGTGATTGGAATTGTGATGACAACTCGATTTCAACAAATTAGAGCTTAAAATCAGGAGATGAAGGAGAAGTGCCTTCTTTTAATTTCCCTGAGTTTAACATCAATAATTAGAGCAATTTTCTGAGATGCGAGCCCAAATTATCTCGGCTATGATGTGGCGTATCACCCTAATTTTAGCAAATTGACTCCGGAGAAACGAATGCTACAGATTAGAAAAAAAGACAAACAGAAGGGGGGGGGGGGGGGGCGCAAATGGAACAAACCCGCAGTAGGATAATAGCTAGGAAGGGCGGGAATGCGGCCGTAAATAGGAAATGTACAGTAAGATCACAGCCAACGCTGGGAAAGTAAAAAATGAGCAGAAGTGATTGGAAAAGGTCAGCAAAATGCTTTGTCCCTGTTGGCACAAATATTGAGCTTTGGAAGCATTTCAACCAGCTCTAAAAGTTAGTGGCACAGAACAAAGACTTGTTGCTTTGACATAAACTAAAGGGTCTGCACCTGGAAATAGTCATTATACTCAGACTCTTGCGGCTTGATCCGCAGTCTCTGTACAACAACGTCGCTCCGGGGACCGCAAGCAACCGCTTGAAGTCAACTCTGGTTTCCATCAGCTGCGGATCGGGCTCCTTTCTTTCTGTTTGAAACAACACGGGCGTCTGTTTGTACTGAGGCGGGGTCAGAGGCTCATGTGCAAGGCGCTGTACGCACAAGCATCCATACTCCCTTGCATACGCAGAGCCTATGGGACGCACCTGACTATAGCTAATAAGCCATTTCCAGAGGGCTGCAGCCATTTATCTGACCCTGAAGCACCTATAGTTTGGGGGAAAGAAGAAGAAGAAAAAGGGAGGAGTCCTGTGGCACCTTCGAGACTAAGATTTATTTGGGCATAAGCGTCACTGCACGGCTCCCCCTGGCACACCTTTGCAGGTGACGGTCTCTTTCTCTCGCTGGGGATGGCTCTGTCTGCTCCACGAGCCTCAGTCCGCTGGGAGCATGTTTCTCGCCCTCCCTTCTTGCGTAACTAACCATCCCAGTGGCTTCGCACCAGCCTTGTGACAGGCCCTTTAATGGACCGATTCAGCACCTTGGCCAGCGCCCCCTTCCTTCCAACCTCTCCATTAGTGTGGGTGACAGCGCGGGAGGGGGACCCCGCCCCACTGGTGCGCGATTGGCTCGCTGGAGAGCCCCCCTCCCCTTCACAAATCTCCTCCGAGCCGCCCAAATCCACCTTGGTCTCCTCTCGTGGCTCTGGAGCGCGGCGGGTTTTCAGCCAGGGGGTTGGAAGCGGAGGGCAGCCCTCCTCCTCCTCGCGCGCCCCTTCTTCCAGCCTCGCCAGCGGGCGCGATGAACCACAACTTTACCTCGCCGGTGCACCCCGTCTCTGCGCAAAGGCCCACGTCCTTCTTCATCGAAGACATCCTGCTCCACAAGCCCAAGCCCTTGAGAGAAGTCCCGCCAGAGCAATTCACCAGCCCCCTGGCCTCCAGGGTCCCCCTCC